CAGGCTGGCTGGCTGTGTTCTAAGAACAAAGAAGGCAGCAGGCTTGCAAGTTCTAGTTGCAGCTACTTGGGCACATGCAATGATCAGAAGACTGGAGACAACTTGCTGGATCTGATATTCAAAGACTTGAGGCTGTGCAGCAGGTGAATTTCACAGCAGTTGAAGTGCAGGGCAGGCAGCTCCTTTGTGTGAGAAGGAGGTTTCAGCCATTTTAGAGAAGAATGAGGGCCCAGGAGTGAGGAAGCCAGAAGGCTCACCTACCCTCTCCACAATCTAGAAAAAGGAAATTGCCACCCCTACCTTTCCTGCCGGGATCCCAGGTCTTGAAGGGACCGCCCACAGCCTTGCAGATCCTTGCCTTCCAGGGCTGTGCATTTGCCACGCCCTGGGGGAACTCTGCTCCCCTGCCTCCCCACCCTGCACCCAGGCAGCTCTCTGGCCTTCGCTGCAGGCAGGCGAGCTCCAGAGGCTGCAGCCTGGGCCACCTGGCAGCTCCAGGTGCTACGTGTGTGCGCTCCCATGGAGACGGCCCCGGGGTTGGTGGCAAGAAGGCTGTCTCCCAAAGCTTTGTGGATTCAGGAGAGGGAGAGACTGGAACATCAGGTCCTTCAGGGTAGTCTGCCTGACCGCTCTAGTGCCAGCGAAGCCCAGGTGGGTGCCCTGGGGGTTTCCTGGAACAAAAGGAGGGAGGAGGAGCCAGAGGAGGCCGAGGATTGGAAGGAGGCTCTGGAAGGGCTGATCTGGGGACCTGGGCAGGGGAGCCTCTTCAAGCTGCCGGGTCAAGGGGAGACGCCTTGCCAGGAACCCCTCGTCAGGCCAGCACCATGCCCTGTATCAAAGACTGGGCAAATGGACTCTGTGGCCCAGTGGGAGGAGGGAAAGGGCCTGGCATTTGTCCCTGGAGGAGGGACAGACCGGGGGATTCACAAAGCCCATCTCTGCACTAGTCAGGGATCTGAGGCAGCAGCGAAGGAAGTAGCTGACCTCCAGCATGAACCACAGACTGTGGCTCCCCTCTGTCTCCCTGGAGCCCGAAAAGCCGAGGGCAGCCACGTGGAGCACACGGGGCATTTGTATCCATTTCCAAAGCGGGGCTGCAGTCTCCCTCGGTGGCAGATCACCAACGGTGGGGTGGCTCAGGCCCAGAGGGGACGCTGCAGGAGCACCAGACTTAACTCCGCGGCTTAGGAACTGGGTGATCTGGAGCAAATCGCTTCCTCTTTTTGAGCCTAAGTCCTTTCATCTGTGAAATGTGGGTGGTAATACCCTTTGACAACCCACAGAACTCCTAGCCTAGGAGCAAGCGCAGGGCCACAGTTCATTGGGTGTTCCTTTGCTCCTTCTCTCTGTCTGCCAGGTCATCTCCTGCAAGGCCACCCGGCGTCTGGTCTGAGGATGGCCGAGCAGCAGGGCCGGGAGCCTGAGGCTGAGTGCCCTGTCTGTTGGAACCCCTTCAACAACACGTTCCACACCCCGAAAGTGCTGGACTGCTGTCACTCCTTCTGCCTGGAATGCCTGGCCCACCTCAGCCTGGTGACTCCGGCCCGTCGCCAGCTGCTGTGTCCACTCTGTCGCCAGCCCACTGTGCTGGCTTCTGGGCAGCCTGTCACTGACTTGCCCACGGATATTGCCATGCTCACCTTGCTTCGCCTGGAGCCCCACCACGTCATCCTGGAAGGCCGTCAGCTCTGTCTCAAGGACCACCCCAAGAGCCGCTACTTCCTGCGCCAGCCCCAGGTCTACACACTGGACCTAGGCCCCGAGCCTGTGAACCAGACTGGGCCCCTCCAGGACATGGCCTCTGCCACCAGGCCCATGCCCATCTCCATCCCCAGCCACTACTCTCTGAGGGAGTGTTCCCGCAACCCTCAGTTCCGGATCTTTGCCTACCTGATGGCTGTCATCCTGAGCGTCATGCTCTTGCTCATCTTCTCCATCTTTTGGACCAAGCAGTTCCTTTGGGGGGTCGGGTGAGCATCTGTTCCGGATAAGGAACCAAGCCTTTCTCGGCCGCTGCTGGGCATGGGGACTGCAGAGCCTCGTTTGGGGCTGCCTTCCTTTGTAGCATTGTTCATTTTTACAACCCAGGGATCAGTTAGACCTTGTGTTTGCTTCTGGGAACAGAGACAGTCCTACTATAATGAGAACCTCTGAAAGCTAAAGGGCTGGGGAGAGCTGTGAAGAGTGTGTGAACCATGGGGTCATGGAAGGGCAGAGAAGCAGGTCTGTGACTCCAGAGCTACGTAGCAAGCTGTGCCAAAGGGTTGGACGACTAGCCAGGAAGCTGACCACCAGAAATAGCAAGTCGCATTTCTCCTTGGAGCTGCTCTGAACTCGGTTCACATCTCCTTGAGTTGCTCTTTTTATTATGTGTTGCTAAAAAATTTGGAAAGTGAGCTTCAGTTCTGTGAGCAAATGTGTTTGTTTTCCCCTTTCTGTTTTCTGCTTGGATATCTTACCACCAGTCCCAGTAAAAATGGTCTGCACTCATTCATTCATTCACTTACTCATCCTACACCCATTTGTTCGGCTGGTGCTGTGCTGGAACGAGGGGAAGACAAGGGGATTATCCCGGGGCGGCAGAACCCTTCCAGCAGGGAGGGCGTGCTCACTCAGCTGCCTCCTGTACAAGACAAACTCTGCGTGGTTTATGGAGTGTTAAGAGTGTAAAGGATTAAAGGTGAAAGTGGCCAGGGTCAGTGGATCAAAGGAAATCTGGGATTTGGAGGAGGTGTTTATTCCTCCTGGTGGGTGCTGGGCGCAGCCCTCACTCCCCGCTCTCAGGCACTGTCATTCTGGTCTCAAGAGCTAAGGCGGAGACCCTGCATAGCTCCCATCCCGGGCCACGCAGGCAGGGGACCCTGGTTTCATTTTCTATGACAGAATCTACGCACCAAGGAAACTAGATAGAACATGGATGCTCGGGCTGCTGCTTGACTACAAGCTGCCGCCTCTGCAGTGTCTAAAACCTTGGTTTCTGTTTCCACAGTTTTAATGCTGCCTGGAGGCCCAGGGCTCGGAAACAGTGTAAGTGGTTAAAATGGTATCACAATTATGAAAAGATAACATTTTGAGTTTTTTGGATTTGTAGAACAAGATTTCAGAGACGAGAAATTGACTCAGTTTTATTTGCTCTAAATAACGTTTTGTGTGTTTGAGATTAGCTTCTATAAATTCTTAGGGGCCTTAATGTACAAGATATTCCAAAATAGCCAAGACACATTTTATGTTTAGTAAAACCAAACGGTCTCAAGCTCCAATGTGCAGAGGATATTCTCCATTGCAAAATTGGAAAGACGCCTACACATCCCGCCAGGGGACCAGCACCTGCCTGTCCACTTGCGCCATCAAAGATAATTACACTAAAGCTGGGACTCGACCTCTCCCCACTGACTTCATTTCTTTACACATCCCTGCTCCTTAACCCTGCGGCAAGTAAGCGGTGCAATGATCTCACCATGTTCTCAGAGCCTTGAGGCACAAGGAGAGGAAGTGGGGGAAGCTTGGGAGGGAACACCTGCCCCTGCACTTGGCCTACTGCTCAGTTATCTTCAGCCCTATTTCCACAGATGAAACTGAGGCGCCCCAAGTTAGGCTGCCTGAATCCAGGTCACCCAGCTAGTAAGTGGTGGAGGCCTTTCAGTCGGAATAGAACTTACACTCTTGGAGTGGCTGATACACCATCCAAATAAGACAAGACATGGATTCTTTTTGCATAGGGAAGGATACACCTGACTCTACAGCATCTCCTATTCTCACATTCAGTAGTTCTAACCCCGGGGCAGCGCCATCCTCCTGGAGGGCCTTTAGAAATGTCCGGGAGCATCTCTCAAACTCCAGTGACAACAGGGTGGGATGTGCTGCTGGGTTTTAGTACTCCAGACGTCAGGGATGCTAAAACAGGCTGCAATGCTCAAGACAGTTCCACACAACAAAGTATCTTCGATCCTCGAATGCAAATAGTTTCTTGTTGAATAACACTAGCAGCTCCTCATAAGTTCATCAAGTGGAAGTGGTGAAATTACTAACTCCCTTTGGCATGAAGTCAGACTGAGATGCAGTGACCAGTCAAAGGGGCAGCACAAAAGGGGGAGCAGTAAAAGGCTCGGGCTTTGCACACGAAACATGCTGTACAGGCCATGCTGGCCGGACTATTTTTCTTTTATTTTTTTGAGGAAGATTAGCCCTGAGCTAAAATCTGTCACCAATCCTCCTCTTTTTGCTGAGGAAGACTGGCCCTGAGCTAACATCCACGCCCATCTTCCTCTACTTTCTATTTGGGATGCCTACCACAGCATGGCTTTCCAAGTGTTGCCACGTCCGCACCCGGGATCCAAACTGGCGAACCCTGAGCCACCAAAGCGGAAGGTGAGAACTTAACCAGGGTACCACTGGGCCAGCCCTGGACCATTTTTCTTTTTTGGTGAGGAAGACTGGTCCCAAGCTAAGATCTGTTGCCAATCTTCCTCCTTTTACTTGAGGAAGATTGTTGCTGAGCTAACATCTGTGCCAATCTTCCTCTATTTTATGTGGGATGCTGCCAGTGTGGCTTGACGAGCGCTGCTGGGTCTGCACCCAGGATCTGAACGTGTGAGCCGGGGGCCGCCCAAGCAGAGTGTGTGAACTTAACCACTACACCACCAGGCCAGCTCCTGCACTGGTCTTTTTGTCTGGCCAGTGTTGCCAACATACTCACTGGGGCCCTACAAAATCTCTTCACAGAGTCACAGACTACCAGGCTCCACCACTTATTAACTGGGTAACTTGAGCAAGTTACTAAACTTCTTTGAGCTTGAGTTTTGTCTGTAAAAGGCAACAATAATTAACTCATAAGATTGTAAAGATTTAACGAGATGTCTCAATGAGCCTGGCCCAGTGTCAAGGCCGAGATAAGTGGCCTGTTAAGTCGTGGGTGTATTTCTCACCATTACCATAAACGCCACCCTTGGTTTATGCTCCTCAGCTAACTGCTTTCTTGCAATATTTCCAGTGAAGAAATGTAGATTCCAAACAAGACATATATTTTGCCAAAGGCTTAGATGAAGTGTTTTTACCCAGTGGCCGCCTCCAAATCCCTTGGAAGAACCACCAAGAGGGGGAAAAAAAAAAGACAAGTTTAACAGAACTAATAGAATTTAAACTTGAAACAACTGAAAACCTTTGCTCACACACTATACCCAAACTGCATGCTAATAAGTAATGTTCGGTATTAGTTCATACATGCTACAAGGGTAGCAATGAAAAATAATTTCTTTTCATGGGCAGCTATGAAGGAAACAGAGCCAATTAATACTTAAACAGCGCAGCGCCAGCAGAGGGCAGAGCTGAGGACCTGAAGCTTCAGAGGTATACGGGGTATGCAACTATGAGGTTGTAACTGGAACCAGGTAAACAACACTAGGCTATAAACCACACACACAGTTCACAGAATAGAGCGAGACAGACCCTCACCCTCCCTGGAAGAGCGAATGAAAAGTGTTTGACGTTCAAGAAGCAGCCATCCTACAAGGCCTTCCTGAATTCCCTCTACACAACCCTTTCTCCCTCCAAGTTGCTGCACTTTTGTGCGAGTTTACTGGGGACTCTCAGAGGACAGTGGCTGCACATTTGGGATGGAAAGAGGTGAAGGTAACTCCTGCACGGCCAGTAAGAATTAAGAGTCTAGATACAGTTCACTGGTGGTCTGGCCCACAATGCAACAGCCCTCTATTTTTTTATAAAAATTATTAACAGAGCACTTGGAAGGAGACAGAAACTGGACTAAGCCGTATCTGAGATCATTTGTTCTATCTCAAACCAAAAAAAGGGGGCTCTGTGAACCAATGGCTAAGATTCAGAAGATGCTTAACCATACAAAATAATTCTTTAAAGGGCAGTTTTTATAATAGGATTTACTCTGTAGCAAATGTGTAAGAAAAAAAAGTTTGTCTAGAAATAGCCACTAGAGATTTTTTTGAGTTACCTCAATCTAAAGGGTACATCCTTTAAATCACCAATAGAAAGGAAGCCGCGCGATAGAGACACCATGTTTGCTTTCTAAAAATTTCACTGAATTCTGACACAACGGCCTAGCTTTGGGTAACAGGAAGGACGCCAAACTTCGAAGAAAAATGGAAGACATTTTCTGAGAAAGCAAACGTTCAGTTCTCAGCTTCCTGATGCAGTGAGCATTCCAAGTGAACTCACAGGGAGAGGAAAGTCCTCTTTCCTGCATGACCCTGAGCACGGCCGGGGCTGACCTCTTCACCCCCCTTCTCAAGGTGGAGGAAGGGCTCTCACTCTGTCAGACACTGTGTAACCAGGGCGTGGGGAGATGTGCCTCTTCATTCGAGGGCTTCCAGACTACAGTGCAGCCGCCTGGCTTTGTGGGCCAGAGGTAGTCCTGAAGCATGTACCATGTACAGGAAAGCCAAGTTTCAAGAATTAAAAACGGAGCCAGTCACAATCCTGAGGGCTGGGAGGGAGGCAATAGGGCATTCAAACAAAAGATTCATAAAAATACTGTCTACACAGTTCGTGGGAGGGCTTGAAGATGAAAATTGTCAGCCACGAAAGGGGTTCACCAACACCCAGGACTGGGCTGCCTGTCGGGAGTGGAGGCTGACATCCTGGAGACCCAATTCTACTGGGGGTCTATACACAGTAATCGGCAAAAAACATGATAGGACAAAACACATCAATTCCTTTCTTTTGCAAATGGCTCTGAAGGGAGAGCTTGAGGTAAGAGTTCTTTTTCCACGGTCCTGCCTATTCAGCCATCCAGAGCTTGAAGGTCCTGTCATATGAGCACGTGGCTATGAGCTGCCCATCGGAAGAAATGTCTAGGCCCATCACTTTGCCTTCATGGCCGGCCAGAGTCTTCAGCGGGGACCAGCCGGGGTGGGTCCAGATCTTGGCTGTGTTATCATAGGCACCAGTGAGCAAGAAATTCCCATGGATAGCTACAAGAGAAAAGGGGAGGCGCTTGAGGAATTCAAGTATTCAAAATAGCATAAGAAAATAAAAGCACAAAAATCTGCTATTTCAAAAGAGAAGGTTATTTCCACACGCAGAAAACCCCACCACCACTCTGACCTATACTCCTTCTAGGCCTCCAGGAAAAAGGGACACCTACAGGCAGACTGAGGAAAGCAAGTAACATTATTAAGGTTTTTTGCTCTTTCCCTGACAGACAACCTGTGTAGAATATTAAGGACGCATTGCTTAGGACTTCCATGGAGAAAAAAATGAAGCTAAGCGTTCCTGGAAGTCTTCCTTACTTCCCAGCAAGCAGCAGCATGCTGTGTCATAGCTCGTCTGAAAGCGCGGGGGAGGGAAGGAAATCATAATTTGCTCCTGCATCAGAGCCCAAATTCTCTCCTGTTCCATTGCCAAGTTAAGCAGAAGCCTGGCCTGCATTCCACGGAAATGCAGTCTGTCTGTCTCATGATTAGGCTTAAAACAGGAGGAAAGCTTACGCTCAAACTTGACGCCAGTCACCAAGTTCTGATGTGCAGGGATGGTATAGACGCAACGCCGCTGTCGAAGGTCCCACACTTTGCAGGTGTTGTCACCACTGCCAGTCGCAATGTGGTAGCTGTGGGTCAGATGTAGTACCGAAGTTAGAAATGAAGAGTACTTTCTGACTGAGAACCCTCTCCACCCCCACTCAACGAGCCATTTTACCCATTGGGGGAGAAATTTATTCCATAGATTTCCTTCAGGTGGCCTTCTAGGAACATGATACAACGTCCTGTGCGCAGGTCCCAAACTCGACCAAATGCATCCAGTCCCCTGATAAAATAATTTATAAATGAACATTGTGAATCCAGTTCTCTGTGGAAGCGGTGCAGGTAAGAGGTGAGCCCACTGAGCTGCCCCTGGCTACATGGAAGAAGCCTTACCCAGTGCCAGCCAAAGAGCCATCTTGATGGAAGGCAATGTCATACACACCCATGCTGTGACCTTCCTGATGCAGGATCTCCTCTTGAGCCTCCAAATCCCATAAGCGCCATGAGCGGTCATAGCTAAAAAATCAAACTAACAATTAACCAGCAGATATTTCTTCAGCTCCTATCAATAGCTGCAGTTCAAGTTATGCTTCTGAAACTATTCATGCAACCACCTAAACAAGAAATTCTTTTCTGGCCTAAACAATGCCTCAACAACTTGGCATATCTGTCTTGGGTGCTAAGTAGGAAACCACAGACTTCCATAAACCTACTCCAGTGGCTCTTTTGAGAACAGAATTCCCTCATAACAGCCAAACAAAGAGTCTCTTGCTTTCTTTCTTACCCAATTCCATTGTTATGTCTTTTCATCATTGAGCATCTATACATTTATTGGGCCCTAAATTGGATGCTAGGGATACAAAAAAATCAATCATAAACAAATAGGTCAATGGAACAGAACAGAGAATATATAAATGGACCAAAACCTGTATGGTCAAATGATTTTTAGTGAGGTTGCCAAAGCAATTTCAATAGGGAAAGGCAAGTCTTTTCAATAAATGGTTGGAGAACTGTCTATTAGCATGGAAAAACAAAATCAGTAAAAAAAATGAGTAAAGCACCCGGACACTGCACAAAAGAGGATATATAATCAGTCAACAAGCATACGACAAAGCACGCAGCACCAATGCTCATTAGGGTAATAAAAATTGAAAGCCACGAGATTTCACCACACTTGCTAGATTGGGCAAAATGACAAGACTAACACCAAATGCTAGCAAGGATGTGAAGCAACCAAAATTCTGGGCACCACCAAACGGGCACCATCACTCTGGAACTTTAAAAAAGTTAAACACGCATCTACCCTATGACCTAGCAAGTGCATTCATAGGTATTTATTTCAGAGAGAGGAAAGAAAAACACGTCCACAAAAAGCACTGTACAAGAATATTTATAGCAGCTTTATTCTGACTAGGCAAAACCTGGAAATAGCCCAAATGTCCACCAATAGGAGAATGGATAAATAAACTGCGGCAGAGTCATACAATTGAATGATACGGCAAAGTGGGTCACATGAACGCATGCATTTGTCCAGTCTAACTGAACTGTATGCTTAAAATAAATCCATTCCACTGTAGTAAATTATATCTCAATTAGAAGGTTCTTTAACAGATTCTGCCCTCACTGAACTTGCAGAACTAGAAAGGGAGATCAATTTGTAAGCAGAGAGATTGTAATACAACGTGTAACAAAAAAATATACACTTCTAACATTGGTCAAGAAAGAGAAGAAAGAGTGAAAACTCTAGTTTTCTGGCTATTAGTGATTTTGAAATTTCAGATTAACTTCAATTTATTTTATTATATTTTATTTTTCCTTTTTCTCCCCAAAGCCCCCGGGGTACATAGTTTTGTATTTTTAGTTGTGGGTCCTTCTAGTTGTGGCATGTGGGACGCCGCCTCAGCATGGCTTGATGAGTGGTGCCATGTCCATGCCCAGGATTCGAACTGGCGAAACCCTGGGCTGCCAGAAGCAAAGTGCGCAAACATAACCACTTGGTCACGGGGCCGGCCCCAGATTAACTTCAATTTAAAAGCAACATGCTTAGCCATAACTATATCATATACTCTCTTTTGATTCTGATTCATTGTAGTTCAAGGAAATCCAACTTGAAGATCTTTGCTTTAAAAATTTACCTGAAAGAGAGCCATAAAGGATTAACATGATGGCATAGGCCTGTATGGATAGAACAACAGGATGGCTTACCAGGTGGTGCCCAAGAACCGTCCTGATGGATGCCACATTACACGGGCCACGCGCACTGTATGGCCTTCAATATCCGCCACTGGTTCATCACTGAAAAGGAATCAAGCATATGTGAGTAAACTATTTTATAGTCAGGTAAATATGCACTGAATTTATTAACTATTGTACAGAGATGCACCCATTCTGTTCAAACTGAGGAGCCAAATTGTAACTAAACTTACATTTGTTCAAACTTTAGGGCAAACAACAATTTAAGCCACTCCTCTTGGTTTTAAAAGATTTGGGAGTATTTCATGTGCCCAGAGGGCACACTGCCCATAGCACTTCAATACACACTGTCTTTCCACCTCAATTTAAGAACTTAATAAACCCATAATGCTACAGACCATTTAGGATTGAGAAAAACAAAAGATATTTTAGCTATTGAAAGGAAAATAGCCTCCCTGTCCCAAAGTAGTGCTGGGATTCTGGAAAGAAAACATACTTCCACAGAGACGTGAGGCGACAGAAATCAAGTAGTTTTGGTGCAAGTGGATTACAGGTAAATCTTTCTTAAACTTCCGCTTGTTCAAGGTTCTGCATGGAATAAGGGAATCCTAAACAGAGAGAGGCTTAGTTTCCTTTTGGTGGCCATTAAATTCTACTGCCCAGAAACCACAGAAAGATGATCTGAAACACCAGGAAAAGGAAATAAACATAAACCCTGAAGAGGGCAATTAAAAAGGGAACTCTGTCAATGTGCACACAGAGAGATAATCAAAGTCCTAGGGGAACAAATATTGCTAAGTATCACCAAGGCCAATTAAAACTTGCTGTGCTCATGGGTAAGACCTTGTCTGGCAGAGTGGAGACACTAATTAGCTCTTTACAAAACCCTGGAATAAAAGCCTCATGTGCTTTCCCAAAGAAAGAAAACCAAGCAAGTGAATTCAGATGTCTTTTAGCCAACAAGATGCTTCCAAAAACTTCTCAGAAGACAGTAATCATCAACACATTAAAAAGAAAAACGTTGTAAGTGGAGAAGATAGTCTAGGTGAGGAATGACGCTGTGGGAGGACACATCTCTTCCTTGGCAATCCTGCCAGGCAGAACCTCACTTTCCGCTCCCCCGTGGCTGTTCGCTAAGAACTGACATGCTGCCGAGAATAATATTATCTTCAGTCAATCTACCAAACAGTGTATTTTTCCAAGATCAGTCTATTGCATAGGAGGTAGAATGCATCTTTCCAGAATAACTGCAGCCAGGAAACAGTGGCCACTACATTTGAGGCAAAAAATCAACGTCCAAAGTTAACAGATAAGAAAGACCTGACAACTCCTCTGGTGAGAAAAGGTCTAAGAAATCCTCCATTAAGTTTTTACTCTAGGTTACCTTGACTCTTACAGCATCTCTGGGGTTAAATACCAGATTTTTCGGGTTCCAAGGACCAATCAATCAACTATTTTAGTGACTGCAGTATGGACAGAATGGCAATACGTACCTGTCAAGGCTCCAAAGCTTCACAGAGCCATCAGCAGCACAGGAGGCCAGATTGACATCTTTTTGGTCCAAGGAGACAGTGGATTTCGGATGGAATACAATTGCTCCTACGTTTGTGTTATGGCCTGAAGGAGTGTCGGAGATAAAAGTTAAAGGGTTCTCGCGGCTTTATAACTGATGTGCAAATACAGACTATGACGAATAATGTAGATATATATGAGGGAACAGGTGGACGTATAGAGTATTAAAGTGACTACTCAACTATTTAAAAAAATGAACTAAATTACAAAAAACACTTTTGCTTTTTTGGTTTAGAGATTGTAAATGCCAGAGTGGGGCTGAACATGAGAGAAATGTGGTATATGTATGACGTCATTATCTTCCAGCCTTGCGGTCAGAAAAAAACAAACCAAGTCAAATCGAATCAGGAATTAATCTTGTGTGTCCTGGGTCTGAGCATAGGTAGAGTGTCAGAGTTTTACTGCTTGACAGAGTTCACAGTGGGAAAAAGATTGAGATTTAAACAACATTCTAACTCACCTCGGAGAGTGTGAAGAAGGTTGCAATCAGGAACAGACCAGAGCTTGCAAAGCCCACTCCTATCAAATACAAAGGAAAGCATCTCAGCCAGGGTTGGTCTGGGAAGGAAAAGGTACCTTGGTAACATTACTAAAGGACAGTCTCTTCTCACCCCCAATAAACTTTATACAGTGGCAGACAGAAAAATAAAAATAAAAGGCTTATCATTTGAAGGGTTATAGAAGAAAGCTACGTCCAGGTTTCATGCAAGCAGAGGCCTCTACTAGACTATAATTAATACAGCACAAGTTGTTCTTCTCCTTAACTTTTGGATTGATTTGTGAGGGAAGGTAGGACAAATTAAACTACCCAATTAATAATAACATTAATAATGCTACTATCACCTTAAACCTGTACAGCATTTTGCTGCTTACAAAGTACTTAAATTTTTTAGACTTTTTATTTCAGAAAATTTTCAACCAATTACTTTCATATCTGTCATCTCAAATAATCCTTATAACAGACCTGTGAGATAGATGAGGCAGGAATGATCAGTTCTACTTTATAAGGGCGGTAAACTGAGGCTTGGGGAGGGGGAGGGAGTGGTGTGGATCCTTGGCTTTCTCCTGAACCTCAGCCTCAATTTCCGCCTAGTCAAGTGGTTCTTGTGCATACAACGTAGGGAAGTTTCCCTCCCTCTAGGTGGCCAGGTCCCACAGAAATAACTCATAACTGAATAGAACAAAACAACAAAGTAATCACATCCTAAGAGTTTTCTGCATATGTGGTGGTAAGTACAAAACAAAATAAACATCAAAACACCAGTTCACATTTACTGAGTCTTACCACATACCATGCACTATCAAGGCAAAAAGCTTTACAGACATCTCACCCCACTTACAGATGAGGAAACTGAAGCTGAGAGATGAAGCATCTTGCCTAGATTATGTAACTAAAACAGAAAAGCTACAGGGCCGGCCCTGTGGCCGAGTGGTTAAGTTCGCACGCTCCGCTTTGGCGGTGTCCCGCATGCCACAACTAGAGGGACCCAGAACTAAAACATACAACTATGTACCAGGGGGCTGTGGGGAGAAAAAGGAAAAATAAAATCTTGAAAAAAAAAAAGGAAAGCTACAGTCAAGTGTGGACACTAGTTAGTCCACAGCTGACTATATGACCTATTCCAAAACACCAGTGTCAAGAACATGACAGACTGCCACATGTCACGGATCTCTGCGGTCCCTTGTGAACAGTCAGAACTGTTCAGAAAGACTATTCATAATATAATGGGCAGAGCAGGAGCATTCCTAGTTTGGTGTGATCATGAGAAGCAGAGGAAGAGGATATGGAAACAGAGCCTAAGACAAATGCTAATTTTTTCCCTGAACCTGTCCCCGCCTTTAGGAAAAAAACACAGGACTTACCAACAAGCTGTGGCCAGCATTTTGGAATTGGGACTAAAGTGGCAGTAGGAGATAGGCCGATCATCCCCAATCTGACTGCAGAAATTATTCAAAGACTTAAAAAAAAAAGACAAATGGTGATCATTAATAGGCTAATCCAAGTGTGTCTTGGCTTTTCCACCATAAAAAACCAAGTTTATGGTTTTAACACAACCCAAGGTTCTTTGATACTTTTTTTGTGAGGAGACACATATAGTGATGACTGAATGGAGTCAAGGCTCATCTGGAACCCCAGCATGCTGTCTGCTACAGTCTTAGTATCGCTAGCTTCTGTGTCAGCTAGATATACACAGGAAAAACGTGGGGAGACATAAAGTGCAGCTTCAACGTAGTAAAAGCAAAAATTAAAGAGCAGAACCACAGGCCTCTGCTGAGTACAAAGGACAACAGGGTCCTGCCACCTAAACTGATGGCCCTCCCAAACAGCAGCAGTGTAAGCAGAGGGATAACTATAGCTGCCTTTACTTTCCTAGAGGCGGCCAAGGGAGAAAACCTAACCAATATTTAAGCACCTTGAAGATGAGATACTCGCTGAGCATCTTACCCGGAGAGATTTGTGCAGCTCTTGCATCTGGGAGGTCCTAGTTGTCTCAGGAATCTCTTTGTGGAGACGGGCCTCTTCCAAGCGTTTCATGGCTCTGTGACATACAAACACCATAATCACCATGAGCAAACGGGTTGTAAACAAGGGTCCACAGGACTGTCTCTGCCGTTCAATTTCACTTCACCACCACAGTCATCATCGAGCAGACCTTCAGTCCTTGAGAGGAAACAAGAAAAAATGCGCTTCTTTCCCCTTCTCGAGGTTCTCCTTACCTGGGCAGTGAATAATTAGCAATCCACAGTCTAGCAACCTTCAGGCTGTTTGGTCCTTCATGGTACCAGGTTTGCTGATACTGAAAGTTAAATTAACAGCAGAAATGTTAAGTCTGAGGCATTCCTGCCCTGCTCATAGCTGTCAATTCCCTAACATAACTGCCTAGAAAAAAGGCGAATTAGTTCAGTAATAGGATGAGGTCAGGCGTATGTGCTTTCTACAGTGTTCGCTTCTGTGAGGTCTTACTGGGCAGTTTCTGGCTCCTTGGTAAAAGTTACTCAAGGGAATGCCATGGCTCTTTCCTGAAGAGGAAACACGCTAACCTTTTCTTTTTTCCTGGTGAGGAAGATTTGCCCCTGGCTAATATCCGCTGCCAATCTTCCTCTTTTTTGCTTGAGGAGACTGGCCCTAAGCTAACGTCCGTGCCCATCTTCCTCTATTTTGTATGTGGGACGCCTCTACAGCGTGGCTGATCAGTGGAGTAGGTCCTCATCTGGGCTGCCGAAGCGGAGCACATGGAACTTTACTTGGCCACAGGGCTGGCCCCACTAATCTCCATTTATTCCTACACAGGAACCACAGACTACTGCCAACAACTATTTCTGAACAGCAGAGTCTTTACGAACATTTCTCCCCTCACCCTAGCAAACCACTGAAAACAGAAAATGAGAGAACTATTCCCTCATTTTGTGTTTATACTATGAAGCCAAAGGCATATCTTACCTCTTCTTTGGACTTCTTAGATTTCTCATCATCTTTTTTGGTCTTTTTTAAGGCATCAGTACCGACTACTGAGAGGATATTTCTTAACCTATAACAAAAAACATCAGAATTAAACAGAGGCAAGATGAGAATGTGGAAAGGACATCCAAAAAGACAGGAAGCTTCCCCTAATCTCTCACCAATCAAACCCTTAGGGGCCTTCTGTAAGAGTCAGCTGCCACGTCTCAACTTCCAGTGTGATTTCTTTCACTTGATCTTTATTTGCAGTTTCCCTAAACTGAACTATAAGCAATTGCTCTACTCAATTTAGAGTTGACTAGCCCCAGTACCACTACCACTGAGTCTGTGAAGAGAGCTAACTTTCGCTCAGTGCCACAGTGCGCTGGATACTGACCCAGGTGCTAAGTCCACAACAATGACTTAAGAAACAGTTCTTGATTTCCACTAGCACAGTCGGGGTGGGGAAGTGCGGAGAGTAACAGGGAACTACAGCACGTTATATCAGCATTACGACAGAGTAAGCAGAGGGTGCTAAAGGGGAACGCAAAAGGATACCTAACGTAGGCTTGGAGGGAGGGTCAGGGAAGACTTCTCAGAGGAGGCGCTACCTGAACTGAGTCCTCAATTAGTCGGGGCAATAGGTCAAGAATGGGAAAGGACAGTTGAAGCAGGGGGTTAAGAAATATAAAGGTCTGGAGATAAGAAAAGCATGTTGAGCTTGGAATCACAAATATGATTGGTACAAATAAATACGGCTGGAGCATGGAACACAAGAAAAGGGCTGGTGAGGGATATGGCTGCAAATGTGAGTAGAGGTCAGGTCACAGAGAGCTCCTAATGCCACAGTAAGGAGGGTTTACGTTTGAGAAAGATCCCTGGAAAAGTACAGAGAATGGTTTGAAAAGGGCAGAATAAGTGCAGGGAAAGTGGACAGGGTACTGCTGTAGGAAGCCTGAGTCTCAGCGGTGGACTGAATGAGGACAGCGGCAGTACGGATTCGAGACATTCGCCTAAGGGACACAACAATCAGCCAGACTTTCTGTTGGAGAAGACAAACAATAAACAACAATAAAAGTCTACCCTTTGAAAATAACATACTATGATAGAAAATAATGGAGGGGCTTACTTTACAAGCGGTCACGTTAGGAAAGCCTTCTTAGACATGGCATTTATGCTGAAACCAAAAGAATAAAAGGGCTTTAAAAGGCAGGAGAGGGGAACAGAAAGAAAAATTAAGTGACAAGACAGAAAAAAAGCTTGAGTATTCCAGGAGGCCCGCTGTGGCTACAAAGTCTAGTAAACTGGGGAAGAGCGGCACAAGGTAAGGCTGAAGGCATGATTAGGAGTCTTTACTCTAAGCATAAGAAGGAGACACTGCAGGAATTTAAGGAAGCAATTAACACAACAGGTTTGGGGCTGTTACAACAGTCTAGATGTGAAAGCAATGGAGGCAGAGAAAAGAAGACACATTGCAAGTACATTTCAGAAGTAGAATAGACTAGATTTCACTGATGGATTACAAAGGAGGTGAGGCAGGTTTTCAACTGAAAACTGAATGGTAGTGTTATTTGCAAGGAGAATAGGACAGGGGTAGGAACAGATGAGCTCAATTTAGACATGCCAAATTTGAAGTACCTATGGAATATTTAGGCTAAAACAGAGATCTGGGCGTCATCAGAATACACATGGTAAAGGATGCCAGGGAGCAGATGAGATCACCCAGGGTGAGTGCAGAATGAGGGGAAAGAACCGCAGCACATAAAGGTTAGGCAGGGAATACAGAGGCTTACAGGCGAGTGAGAATCAGTCAGGAAATAGGAGGAAAATCAGGATTTGGTCTTATGAGAGCTGAGGAAAGGGAGTGTTTCAAGGAGGGAGTGGCTGCCAGCGTACTAGGGCTGTTCTTAGTAAAGATGAGTTGATGAGCTTAGTAAAGAGCAATTTCAACGTGGTAGCGGTCAGTCAGTCAGCAGTGGGTTGAAGAGGAAATGAGGGGTAAGGGCCTTAAGAGAGTAAATGCAATGAGAGAGGACTAGCTGAGCCCCAAGTCCTGAAGAGGCAGGCAGGCTAGGTGGCCCTAGGAAAGAGGGTTCACGGTGGAAGGGTCAGGCTGTCATCCGTGTTTCAGGTGGCGCTTACTGTGCCAAGGGCTCATGGGTCACTGGTTCTCCAAGTGCCAGGGGTGGGCAGGCAGTGGCACTGCACCCTGTCCAATACTGTGCCCTGATGGAGAAAGCTCTGAGGTCTCCTGCCCCCCAGTTCAACACTTTCTGACGTTCCTTTTGCATCCCTCCCATTAGGACAATCAGTCCCCCTCATCTGGGAGCCCCCTTTCTCTCCTCTAGCCGTTCCTGGCACCTGGACACCTACCCAGAGGCGCCCCCTCCTCTCTCATACCCCCACCCTGTGGCCAGCCCAGCTGGTTGTGTAAGATACTAGGTGGGTTCACAGTGATTTTTTTTTCGTTGTAAATTAAAGAGGCCGAGCATTGTTGGTTCCAGTTAATGGACATGAGATAATGTTAGAGGTTTTAAAGTGATTAAATGTACAGACTATACAAACCAGGAAAAAAAAATGACGAAGGGGAGACATTGGACAGTGGATAAAAAGAGGTGGGCCTCACAACTGCATATGACTAGCCTGTAACTAAGAGACTTTAAAACTTAAAAATCACAAGAGGAGGATTATCTGAGGACATGGCCCTCTTTGAGTAATATCCAGAAAACGCTTATCGTTGTTTTATGTCATTGTCAAGGAATGCGTTTGTTGTCTAAATTTTCAAAGTTCAATGACAAATGTTTACCAATGCAAAATTCCACACTTGGCGGGGGCAGATTATGTTAACACCTTCTTCACAGTTTATAAAGAAAAGTTAGTCGTGGAATCAAAATTGGCCTAAGACTCAGATAATGGGCTAAACTCTTCTGTTAATATTATCTGAGACATTCTATTAAAGCTTTGGCTACGATTACCAACCGAAATTTAGAACTAGAACCCTGTGATTAAAAAAGAGAAGGATAACTATTTAGAAAGGGCACCTTTCTCTTCTCTCAGCAGGCCCCTCTCCAAAAAGCGTGATGGGCTCGCCCAAGGCTCTAAGGCAAGCCTTGACCTCTGAGTCATCCGTAGAAACATTGATCTGCCGGGCTCGCTTCCTTCTTTCAAACTCAGCTAATACTTCGGCCTGTCGCTCACTGATGTGCTCTTCAATTTCAAACACTTCTCCTATGAAAAGAATATGCAACATCCGCATAATCACCAGATCTTCTTCAAATGGGGGAAAGAAAGAATTTCTCACAATTTGAGTCTGTGTGTGCCCCTAGGGAAAGTTAATTGTCTAATCTATTACACACTTTATAGGTTACTGTTTCTCAGTTTATCAAATTATGCCAAACACAGAAAACTAAATGACACAGCTTTCAAAGGCAGGAATATGGTTCACGCCACCTTGTTCCATTTGGTAACCTTACACCTACATAAACACATAGCTGAGAGATGAGATGAGAGAGTAAGAGTATGGAGCATCTTTAGCAAATGAGTTAACGAGGTCTTCTATCCAGAAAGTAAAACAGAAACGTTGTTTTAACAATTGCCAAAGTCATTCTCTAAAACAGTCCCAGTACAAGGACACCACAAATATAACTTGTAAATTGGAAATAAGTACCATGAAAATGATATTCTTTGACTATAAGGATTTTTGGATAATCTAGCAGCTAGTTTTAAAACTCACACCAAATACAAGCATTTGGATGGAAAATGAGAAGTACAGTAGTGATGCAGTTATGTTTAAAACAGCATAAAAGATTTAAAAAGTCACGCATGTACATAGAAAAGAATGTTTGGGAGGATCAATGAGAAACTTGACAGAAATCACTTCTGCAAAGAAATCTTTTCATTTTGTTCTTCTGTACTGTTTGCATTTCTTATGACAAACACTATAATTTTATTTAAAAATATAGTGGACTATTAGTTACTGACATGGAAAGATATCCTTAACAGTATACAGAGGGAAAAATGCAAGTAACAAAACAATTTGTATATCATGGTTTCATTTATGGAAAAAAATTATACACTTTTATAGATTTATTAAATTCTTGGAAAGATATACACCCAGTTAATAAGGATTACAGGATTTTCTACTTCACACATTTCTACATTGTTTGATTTTTTCAAAATGAAAATAACTATTACTATTTAAAATTTTTTTGCTGATTAAGATTTCCCCCAAGCTAACATCCATGCCAGTCTTCCTCTATTCTGTATGTGGGTCCTGCCACACTGTGGCCGCCAACGAGTGGTGCAGGCCTGTGCCTGGGAACCAAACCTGGGCTGCCAAAGCGGAACGCACCGAACTTAACCACTAGGCCACAGGGCCAGGCGCCACAATAACTATTATTTTTATAATTTAAAAAAGATATCTCATTTTAAGTGAAAAGTAATTGGAAAACTAAAAAACGGAGAATATTATAAATATATAATAAACCACCGTAGCTCCAAACCAATGCCACAACTATGCTGGATCTCCAAAAGACAAACGGAATCACTTTGAATCTAAATACACACTGAATAAATTCCCGGTAAAATTACTAACAATTCACGGAAGAAAAACTATACAAAATGTTTTAACAAAAAGGCTCTCTGGATAGGGTAGGCAAAGTATGGCCTTACACAGATCCAAGTTTAAAAACTGAAATTTGTTGACGCTATAAAGCCAGTGACATCTAAGTTTAGGGAAGGCATCATAACCAAAAATCTGAGCACCAAAGGCAAAGACGGACTCACAATTCGCATCTTACCAGAGGTTATGTTAATATTTCCTGCTTCAATTCCCGCTTTAAGTCCTTCTTTTCCCAAAATCCCAGACTCTCCTTTGGCCAGACGCTCCCTCTCCTTCTCTTCCAAACTTCCATAATAGATGTGTGGTTTCTTCACAACAGGAGCCACCAAGTCATCGGGTGCCTTGGTTTTGGTTGCCTGCTTAGTTAAAGACCTGGATTAGCCTAAGGCTTCATCTTAGCAACTGACCCGCTTCCCGAGGATGGAGCTCATCCTGAGCTTCAATCCTATTTCCTCCCCAACCGAAAGGACAAGTTGGACACCAGTTCAGATGCATTTTCACTATTTAGGGGGGTGTTTCAGTCTCTCGATCACCTAAGTTTTGCAGATAGAAAGAAGTTGATAAAACTAGTGAATTTCTCTTGCTAATTTTCCTATCAAAGGTTTGCTCTGAAACGTGTTCACTTCATTCGGTTGGAAGCGCAATTCTGGGGTTTTACGACCCTTCCAGGGTCACTGCTCATCACAGGGGAAACATCAAGGACAAGTGAAATAACCAAGGCGATGTTAAGGGGAAACAAGTTACAACGCTGCCGGTCTATACATTTCAAACGTTTTCAGACGTGAGGCAGTGGATATAAAGTAAGGAGGCCTCGTTACAATTAAGAGGCCTCCTAGACACAAATCTTGGCCAAGACACACTACGTCCTCCCTTTCCGAGCTGCGTTTCTGGATCAGTCGGAAGAGGTCTTTACCGTTCGCGGGTGTAGCGAGGGGTGCAAGTGAGCTAAAGCACAAGAAGGGAGGGAGGGATCAGGAAAACGCTGCTCCTCAGACCTCCACCGCCTTAGCACCTGCCCTAACGGCCCCAGCCCGCGGGGACCCCCACCCCTCCGCGCTCCCTGCCAGAGAGAGCTGAGATCTGTACCGTGGAGGAGGCGCGTGAGGAAGCCATGCTGGGCTCTGGAGCCGCGAAGCCCCAGCGAAATCCGAGCCCTACGCTTCAGAGCGTCCACCGCGCGCCCAGCAAAGCGGAACTGCGTCACCTACCGGAAGTGGACCCAGAGCCGACGCTGCGTCCTGGGTGGCGTGGAGCATGACGGGAATCGTAGTAGGGAAGAGTCTGGGCGCGTCGAGAGGCGTGACCCGTAGTCGTCCGAGGAAAGCACGCGGAGGACGAGGTTCTGCGAGGAGAGAGGCTCAGAGTAGTCTGGGAAGTGTAGTCCAGTTGGCCTGGAAGAAGAGTCGCGGTGGGCGCCGAGGTTCTGGGAAGGGGCCGAGCAGGCTTGAAAAGAGGTAGGTGCGTGCAGGCGCGCGGCTCGGGGCTGAACTCTGGAGCAAATCGAGGGCTTCCGGGGCCTGCTGTCCCTCCTGGCCCAACGAGCGGCTTGACGTCGTCCTGGAGCGGAGGTCCCTGTTGCCATGGAAACCCTCGCCCTGGACCCCCGAGTGCTGCCCTGGAGCTGCGGAAGGAGAGCTGTTCTCCTCCGCTGTGCGGAAGTTCTCTCCCAGGGGCTCCCCCTGAGCTGGGGGAATTTGCGGTGGGTTTGAGCAGCGGCGAGAGATTAAGCTCGAGGAGCCCTCTAGCGCCAGAGTATAATAATGACCCGGCGGAGGAGCCACGCCTGATTTTGTTGTCTGTCTTCAGCCCGGTCTTTGTATCAGATGTATCAGATGCAGAGTGAGATGATGGATGTGAGGCGACAGGTAATCGGCACGCAAGCAACTCTGCCGGGCCCTGCGTTCTGCTGGGTGCTGGGGCCTCAGAGATGAACAAGACGAGGCTTTTGCTCCCATGTCGAGGGTGGAGATGCTCAAAATATTGGTGTTTCCCGAGCTGACAGAGCCCTTACCCACAAGGACAATGACAATAATACTGGTTGTTGTTTATTGAGCGTTTACTAAATGCCAAGTTACGTTCCAGGAACTTACTCTGCATTACGTCTTTGAATCCATACAACAAAAGAGTACAGTTACAGAAACTAAGATGTAGTGAAAGATGAAGCTAATTGTTCGAGATACTTGGTGGGTGGGATTAGAACCTCTGCCCTCTGCTCTTTTGCCTCCAGAGAGCGCTTGTACCCACTACCCTATACTGCTTTGTAGTGGCGAGCTTTTCACAATCAGCAGAAAAAGTTAAGAAAATGCAAAGAAGTTTTTTTCTTTCTTTTAAGCATTCCCCCGAAACCTCCCCCCCCTCCCCAAACTTTGGCTTCCTCTGCCATTTGCCTACATTGGTATCAGGATATTATCTGATTTAATATAAAGCGATTTGAAATGTAATGTGCTAGTGTTTGGGGTTGATAATATCACCTCTATCTGTCCCAAGCTTCACGGGAGAAGGAAACGCTTATTCCTTTGTGTATTTCACAGTCCTTGATACATCCCAGATACAAGTAACAATAATTTATATCTGTTAATACTTTAAAGGAGCTTTCACTTACATCATTCTCATTACATCAGTCAATTACATCAGTCATCTTACGTGAATCCTCACCATGTAACCTATGTATAATGTTTATAGGAAGCTGACATTTATTAACCAAACTAACAGCTCCCACTTCATCTGTAAAGTGGGGGTAATTTTGTTGGCGTGCAGGATTTCTATGTGTAAATAAAAATGTAAAGAATGGAAATGGAAAAGCATAGCACAGTGCTGAAGAAAAGTTCATTTCACTGCCTTTATTGGCTCTCTCAGTTTATTCAAGAGAACATTTACTGACTGGTTATCATAGATACAGTCTACTGGATGCTGTGGAGAATATAAGGACGCAACGCACAGATTTTAAACTCAGTTGGGGAGTTTTATTTTCTTCTTAAAAAAATGTTTTCTGTTAGCATAAGCATTACCTAGGGTTTTCAGACTCTGTGGAGTGTTCTGTTGACCCTCTTTGTATATTTGTTCTCTCTCCTTGGAGTGACCTTAATCTCTTTCTCTGCCTGTCCTTCACCAGTCAACTAAGACATCATCTCCTCCAGGAAGCTCTCCATGTTCCTGTCCATGCCATGCTCAGGCCAGACTGGATTGGTGCCATTGCATTACCCTTGTCAGAGTTTTATTACACTGTGTTGCAATTTTCTGTTTACATGTTTGTTTTCCCCACAGACTGTGTCTTCCTTTTAACTCTGTGCTGGAGCACAAGAAGTGTTTGTTTCATGAATGACGTATCCATTTAGGACCTGCTTAGCCTCTGAGGATAACTCTGTGAACTGGTGAGTTAGAGGAAGTTTTCATGAGGTTTAGTAAACTGATTTTAGCATTCAGGGGTGATCACAGATCTCTCACAATTTGCATGTAGAGTTGAGCAAATTTAGTGGCTTATATACTCTCCCACTAACTATGCTGAATTAAGATGTGATCTTTAGCTTTATCCTTTTAGCTAGAATATTTCTTTGAATGTGACAGGAGCATGAGGTTAAAGTGATTGTTGCCTAGAATTCTCTTTACAGGTAGCTTGCCGTTTTAAGTTCTTGATGAAAGAGTTTTTTGGAATTAGAAAGTTGTGGATCTCCATCATGTAATAAAAATGTAATAATCATCCACCTAAAGACTTAGAAGCCTATGTGTGAATCCAAATGAGTCTTTTGTATCGCCATTCGTTTTAGCATGCATGCTTACAAGTTGATCTTATATTTGTAGCTGAGATTTATCCCCTCTAGTTTTTCCTTCTTTCTGCCTTTTTAGCAGCTAATAGTTCACTGGGCCTGGCCCTTGGTGTTGATTTCAGTATGCTGCGACGAAAACCAACGCGCCTGGAGCTCAAGCTTGATGACATTGAGGAATTTGAGAGTGTTCGAAAGGACCTGGAAGTAAGAGCACGACTTTCAAACCTTTAGGAGTATTTAAAGCAATTACTCTAACTTTTGAACTCTAGACTCTTGTACCAACAGCATTTGAAATCTCTATTTGGATGCTTTATGGGCCTCTCAAACTTAATGTATTAGTTTCTCGTGGCTGCTGTAACAAATTATCACAAACCTGGTGGTTTCAAACAACAGAAATTTATTCTTTCACAGTTCTGTAGGCCAGAAACCTGAAATTGGTACCACTGTTCAAAATCAAGGTGTCAGCAGGACTACGCTCCCTCCAGAGGCTCCAGGGGAGAATCTGTTCCTTGACCCTTCTAGCTTCTGGTGGCCACTGGCATACCTTGGCTTGTGGCTGCGTCACTCCGGTCTCTGCCTCCTGATCACATGGCCTTCTCTTCTATGTCCCTGTGCCCCCTCTAGTAAGGATACATGTGATGGCATTTAGGGCCCATCTGGATAATCCAGGATAACGCCCCCACCTCAAGATCCTTTATTTAATCACATCTGCAGAATTAGGACCTGATAGCTTTGGGGGTCATTATTCAGCCTGTTACACTTAACATGTTAAAACGGAAAACCTCTTGATTTCTTCCTCAAATCAGTTTCTCCTCAGTGTTCCCCATCTCGATACCTGTGCAGTCGCTCAAGCCAGAAACCTGAGAGTCACTCTTGAGGTCCCCCTTTCCCTCGCCCTTTATGTTCATTCTGTCCATAAATCCTTTGATTTTACCACAAGAATATTTCTAGAATCTACCCACACGTTTCCATCTCCACCGTACAACCCTAGTCCAAGTAACCATCCTCTCTCTCTGTACAATTTCCGTAGCATCCTAAGTGGTCTTCCTTCTTCCACTTTTGTCACTTCAGTCCATTTCCCCATCAGGTGTGTAGAATGATCTTTAAAGAAATTCAGATCATGTCATTTCCCTGCTTAAAACTCTTCACTGGTTTCCTGTACTTAGAATAAAATCTCAGTTCCTTATCGTGGCCTACAAGATTTGTATGTTCTGGCTGCTCTCAGGTTTGCCTTGCTCTCTGTACCCAGGCACACTGGCTTTCCTTTGTTTCCTTGAACATGCCAAACTGTTGATCGCTCATGGCCTTTGCACATGTTACTTCTCTGTGCCTCGAGTGCTCCCCCTCTCTTCATCTCTCTGTTTAAATGTCGTTTCGTCTGAGAGGCCTCTTCTGAGCCCGTCCTAGTTAGGCGTATCATTTCTATCCATGCTGCCTGCATCTCGTTAGGGTCTCTCAAGTCACTTTATTCTTTTATTTCATAGCATTTATTATAATTTACAATGGTTGGTTTGTTTATTGTAAAACCAGTTACATTAGGAACCTTGATGGTAGAAATCACATCTGTCTTCTTCCCTGCTGAGTTCCCAGCATCTTGTACATAGTAGGAGCTCAATATGTATTTTTAAGTGCAGCCTTACCCCACGGTATTAGATGTCCATTAATAAGACTTAAATTCTGGGGCCGGCCCGGTGGTGCAGCGGTTAAGTGCGCATGTTCTGCTTTGTGGCGGCCCAGGGTTCTCTGGTTCGGATCCTGGGTGTGGACATGGCACTGCTTGTCAAGCCATGCTGTGGTAGGCGTTCCACATATAAAGTAGAGGAAGATGGGCATGGATATTAGTTCAGGGCTAGTCTTCTTTAGCAAAAAAGGAGGATTGGCAGCAGTTAGCTCAGGGCTAATCTTCCTCAAAAAAAAAAGACTTCAATTCTTTAGTGGCCTTCAGAGTGAAGTCCAAATTCCTTAGGATGGCATGCAAGGCCCTTTATGACCTGGGCCTTGCTCATTACTCCACTCTATCTGCCGCTGCTGAATTATCTTTAACTTGAATCTCAGTGCCTGTGCACACTCCGTTCTTTTACTGGAAATGCCCTTTCCATTTCTTTGCCAGGATAACTCCTGCTCATTTTTTGACTCAGCTCTTTTCCGAAGTCTTCCTAGACTACCTGCCCCCCGCTGGGTTAGGTTCAACCTCTTCCCCCTGTGCACCTCTCTTGTAGGCACTGTCACTCTCTGTTGTAACTGTCTGTTTGCTTTTCTGTTTTCCCCCACGAGGCCATATGCTTCTTGAAGGCAGGAATTAGTGTTTTCTTCTCTGCATCTGTTCCTGGCAATGCCAGGCCTAGAGGAGATGCTCAATACAAGTCTATTCTCATTTGCTGTCCTACTAGATATTTTGTACACACCTATGAATATAATGGCTTTATTATGTATTGTGTATGTTTCTTTTTAAGACAGATAACTTGGATTTCTTTTCCCCCTTTCTCACCCCGGGGGGCCTTTAGCGTTCTCTAAGCATTATAATTTTTTTTTTTTGAGGAAGATCAGCCCTGAGCTAACATCTGCTGCCAATCCTCCTCTTTTGCTGAGGAAGACTGGCCCTGAGCTAACATCCGTGCCCATCTTCCTCTACTTTATTTGTGGGATGCCTGCCACAGCATGGCTTGATGAGTGCTGCCGTGTCCGCACCTGGGATCAGAACTGGCGGACCCCAGGCCGCCAAAGCAGAACATGTGCACTTAACTGCTGCGCCACCGGGTTGGCCCCAAAGCATTATAATTTTTTGCTTCCTTTTTTTTGTGCTGAGGAATGTTTGCCCTCAGTTAACATCTGTTGCCAATCTTGTTTTTTTTCTTCTTCTCCCCAAAGCCCCCCAGTACATAGTTGCACATTCTAGTTGTGAGTGCCTCTGATTGTACTGTGTGGGATGCCGCCTCAGCATGGCTTGATGAGTGGTGCCAAGTCCATGCCCAGGATCCGAACTAGTGAAACCCCAGGCTGCCGAAGTGGAACGCACGAACTTAACCACTCAGCCACAGGGCAGGCCCCAACCAAGCTTCCTCTTTTTGCTGAGGAAGATTCGCCCTGAGCTAACATCTGTTGCCAATCTTCCTCTTTTTGTAGGTGAGCTGCTGCCACAGCATGGCCACTGACAAGTGGTGTAGGTCTGCACCTGGGAACCGAACCTGGGCTGCCAAAGCGGAGCATGACAAACTTGAGCAACCACTTGGCCACTGTCGTTGGCCCATAGTTTTTTGCTTTTTAAAAGCTCATATTGATAGTGTCTAAGGGTGAGCTTTGAGTATGGTTTAAACTTCAGTTATCATGAGTCTCATAAAATGCTAGCACGCTGACCTTTGACTCTTTGAGTCAGCACACCGCTGAGTTAGTCTTTCTCCTAAGGACAATTAGCCAGTGGGTTTGACCTATTTTACAGCAACTTCGGAGGGACGGATAGTTTTGCCCCAAACTGAAATGAAACCAGTCGAAAACTGGTGTTTCGTTTCTTACTAAAATTGGTTTGATGACATTTTGATGACTCCACATTCTGAAAGAGTCAGCAGTTTTCATGGTGGGAAGCCTTTGAAATGATTCATTCCATTCGGATACTCTCAGGGTTTCTTATGGCTTATAAAACGCTAGCATCCTTTGCCTTTAGAACTTGATTTCACAAAGGTGTCTGGGGAGAACTTTCTAATGTTGCCTCTGGGTAGTGTAGACTAGAGAGTGACTCAGAAAAGTCATTATGTTTATATATATATGTGCAATACCTTGTTTGATGCACTATAATACTTAGATGTTGGCATTTAAATGCTCACAGCTCAGCAGTAAGTGATGAAGAAGGGTGGCGATTCCAGTGATTAGAGTAGTCAAGCCGTTCTTCTAGTAAGAAACTCGAGATCAGACGTATGTTCCCTCTCCCAGAGAAGGTTATCAGCATCTGATACCGTCTTTACACACAGGTAGTGGCAGTTATGGATAAGGTTTAGTCTCTCTTTTTGAAAATGACTAAACGGAGACATAGGCTTTGTGAATTCTGCAGTCACTTGTGACTAAAAAGCCAGACCTTTTATCTGAAAACAAAATGAAACCTCAAAACTCAGGGCTTTTGATAAGATAGCACAAAACCTGTGTCCCTGTGTTACATTTAATCTCATGGTGTCAGTCAAGCTGTTAATTTCTGGTGGTTATCGTTTTACCAGTAGCTTTATTTTTCCTTCTCTTCTCTTGAATACTACATTGGCTGAAACATCCTTCTCTCTGCCTTGTCTGCCAGCTCTTAGTTATCTTTCTAACTGCAGCTTCCCGCTGTGAACCTCACTGCTGCCCCCTCAGCTCCTCACCTCTGCTCTGTGTCTCTTTGGCAGTGTGGGCTTTCCTGTGTCATAGCCCTGGTCATCCTGTTGTACTTGTCTGTCTGCCTGTTTCCCTGTTAGACTGTGACATGCTGGAGGGTAGGGGTTATATCTTTTATCACTATATCCCTGTATCCCCCTTGTAACCCTAACCATCTAAACCTAGGATTTCAGTTTATTGTTCTGTAGACCCTAACCCTACCCTCTAGCCTATGCCTAGTACATGGTAGGTACTAAATAAATGTTTGCTATTGGAAAGACTGTTGCCTTAATCCTAAAACTTTTACGCTTTCAGAACCGTAAGAAACAAAAGGAAGATGTGGAAGTTGTAGGAGGCAGTGATGGAGAAGGCGCCATTGGGCTCAGCAGTGACCCCAAGAGCCGGGAACAAATGATCAATGATCGAATTGGTTATAAACCCCAACCCAAGCCCAACAATCGTTCATCTCAATTTGGAAGTTTTGAATTTTAAAGGTGCATTATCTTGTGTACCAGAGCCCCGGAATGGAGTAAAATGATGGCAGAAGTACAAACAAGATTTAGAGAATCGAGTGCTTGGAATCAAGCAGAATGTTTAACCTCCTGCAGAGAGAAATACTTCTGCAAGAGATTACTGATGCTTAACTTTCACTCTAAGCTGAAATCCAAACTCTAGTTTGTCTCTGGAAAATTTGACTCTATAAAACTTGTCTGATTTTTGTTTTTAAAAATAAATCTATTTTTGGAAAAGGGTGCAACATCCTTAAGGAAGTATAATAACACTGTTAGCCCCCAGACTTTAAAAGGTAATTCCTTGACAAGAGGTAACATCCTTCTTCCCATCTGTGTTCAAACACTCTTAGCACAGAACACTTCCAGTTGGTCCCTGTCACTGACTTTCATTTAACTCATTTATTCAGCAATTATTTATTGAGCGCCTACTATGTGCCAGGTACCATTCTAGGCAGTTAGTCACGTCAATGAACAAAATCAACAAAGATCTGTGCCCTTGTGGAGATTAGATTCTAGTGATTTGGCGTAAACTTGACCAAGTTGTGGGTTTCTAGAATCTGTTTATAGAATGGCTTTGTAACTAGTTGGGGGTAAGTTTGGGAGGACAGGCAGTGGAAGGAAACATAATGGGAATGTTTCTAACAGTATTACCATCATTCCAATTCTCCTTTTCTCAACTCGTCTAAGAGTTTTTCCCACTACGAGCCAATCTGAGAAGCAGCTCAGAGGGTAATTTAGAATTATGTCCTGTTGTTTTCACTGTTTAATTCAACTACAGGGAACCACCAGCTGTGGTAGAAAGAACCTCTGGAATCATTGGTACTAAAGAGACCCCTTCGCAGGGTCTTTCTGGGTAGTTTAAGTCTAGGTAATAACAGTGTGGGAGAGGCAGGGATAAAAGAGTAGACAGTTTTCCTTCCTCCAACCGTTCTTACAAACCCTTTATTCTTCCAGTTTTATCTAGGACCTTGAATTCTGTTATCTTACAGTCTTAAAAACATAGCAAGAATCAGGCTTCAGATAGGGAAATGTTACATTATTTTGAAGCCTGCAAAGGCCAATAGCTAAGGGCAAAAAAAAAAAAAAAAAAGAGGAAGAAACAAGGCTGGCTGTCACTGTGACTTCCACCATGAATAGACACAGAAGCACAAAAACATTGTGGCTCCTGAATTTTTTCCCCTTCCCTCCTGTTAGCAAATACTCGGAGGGCTGTGTGCAGAAGACGCTGTACCGAGTGCCTTATGCAGATTATCTCATTTAATCTTTAACTCCTATGGGGAGAGTATTTTATCCTAATTTTACAAAAGGCAAAACTAATGCTCAGCTATTGAGGGGTAGAGCTGAGACTCCAACCCAGGCAGACTGATTTCTGAACCCACGCTTCTAAACTTCTTACTACACCGCTTTCCTAGTCTTCCACTGCTGGGTCTAAGAATGTGGGGACACCAGGGGTGGAGTGAGGAATTGGTGTTTCAATTCTCAGGAAATTTCCATGCTATTTATAAAGGAGACAGTTACCAGATTAGTAGATAAGAGCTCATTGCACCTGTAAATCTTTCTTGACACAACTGAGATCACATGCATCAATTGTGTATTTCTCGGGTCCGAGCGTTCATTTCTGGATTGCTCAAGCTCAGGAAGATGGTCAAGTGTTGTGAAGAGATGCCAGCCTTAGCCAGAAGAGTGGACCTTTCCTTTTCCCGAAAGCCGGAAGAACGATAATCAGAAGACAATAAAAATATACTTAGTGTGGCTTGGACAGCCAGCCCTCGTGGTCTAGTGGTTCAGATGCAGCGCTCTCACCGCTGCGGCCCAGGTTCCTGTCCTGGTCAGGGAACCACGCCACCTGTCTGTCGGTTGGCATACATGGCAGCTGCGTGTTGCTGTAATGCTGAAAGCTATACCACCAGTATTTCAAATACCCGCATGGCCACCCAAGGTAGATAGTTTTCAGGGGAGCTTCCAAACAAAGACAAAGGAGGAGGACCTGGCCACTCACTTCTGAAAAAACTCGTCATGAAAGCCCTACGAACAGCAGCGGAACATTGATGTAGCCCCACAAGGTGAGAGGATGGTGCAAAAAGACCAGGCAGGTTCTGCTCTGCTGTACACAGGGTCACTAGGAGTTGGAATTGACTTGACAGCACTAACAAGTGGCTTGGATGCCTATCATGTGCTGGATGCTTCATACCTATTGCTCTTAATTCAAATAGGTACTAGTATCGCCTTTTTATAAGTGAGAAAACTCAGGCTTAGGGATTATTAAAATAACTTGCCTAAGGTCACACTTCTATTAAGTGGTGGAGCCAGGACTAACTCAAGTATGCTTGACTCCAAAGTCCATGCTTATCATACTACACCATGGAAGAGACTAGGCGTGGTGCTGAATGGCAAGATGCCCATCTGGGGGCCAGTAGGAAGGGCAAATAACACCAGCATTCTGGCATTACCAAAGGGATAGGCAGGGCCAATGCTCATCGCAAGGGTTGGCAGTGAAGTTCCTAGAGGCCCAACTCAGGGCCTCTTGCCTGACAGTATAAATACAAGGAAGGGATTATGATATGACAAGTTAGCTTCTAAATTCAGGAATCCTTGGTATACTACGTTATCTGATGCAGCTTCATGAAGACCCTGTCTCCTGTGCAAAAGGTCATGTAGATCTTCTGGCACGTACTAGCTTGTCATTTTAAGTGGAGGAGGAGGAGGAGAGTGAGATGAAGACAGAGAGATCAGGCCACCTAAAAGACTGACAGCTTAAAAACTGATGGTAATGGCCAGACTCTATGTGGACAATGAACAGACTACTTACTCTGACATCACTCTGGGAGAAAGACATACATAAAATCACAAAATCAAAATATTTATTCTCTTCTTTTGTACATGACACTGTTAAAACATTCCTATGACAGCAATACTGCTCTCCAGGAGCTTACAATCTAAAGCAGTCAACATTAATTGTAGACTCAGTGATTAAGGCATAATATCAAATGCAGACTTTGTATCTTTAGATGTATCTTCTAAAAGCAGCAGCTAGAGAGGGCAGGATCAAAATTAAATGACATGAAAATGTACCCTCTGCCCCCTCTCCTTATAAGAAACCCCTTGTGGCCAGAATCCAAGACCAGTGCCCCACAGCCTGCAAGGGAATTCCAGACAACCCTACCATAGAAGTAGTGAAGAAACCTTAACCTTTAACTCCCCGTTGGACACAAAGGATTCCCTGTTTGTGGGCAACGGGGAGCTTAGTGTTCCTCTAGCATAGACTGGAGACAGCACCTAAGATTCTGTAACTCTGCGGATGGTAGTAGGTAGCTCTTTACCTAGCCTTATAGAAATTCTAGTTGGACAATTGCTCCTTGAACCACGCTGAAGGTCTCTACCAAGTTTTACGCCTTTTGGTTGGTATCTATATCGACTGCACAGCAATGTTCATAGAGATTTAATAAACTAGATAAATGGGATAAAAGACTGAAAGGAAGAGAAAAGCAGAGCAGAATACGGGACCAAAGAAATGGGGATATGCCTTTCTAATGTGAAGAGGGAAAGAGGAAAAGAGAAATCTGATCCAAAAGGAACAAAGAAGTCAGGCACTAAATTCCCAGTGAACACGGACACAGAGATGAAAGTCAACAAGACCATTATATCATCACAATCCAAGAGCTCAGGGCAGATGGAATTTAAGCTTTAATTTTCCTCCTTCAGCAGCTTCCTCCTTTGGCGACCTGATCGAAGAATTGCGGGATTCAGGTTTGTCATGAGACTATCTTGAGTACCTGAAGACCTAGCTCAAACTGATGTTTCTGAGTTTCAAATTCACAGCATTTTGTCTTAACCGGCCTTGATTAACCGTACTGAAAAGGTCCTGTACCTGAAAGGGTATTTCACAGCAGCTCACATAAGATTTCTAGAGAGCACCAGGGTCACTACTAACCATTGATTCTTATTATTTTTCATGGTTTTATTATTCCTTGGCTTCTGAGACAATAAGAGACTATTTACACCTTAGTGTTGGATTCTGTCAGTACCTGTGATTCACTCTGCTGATGCTAAGTGTCAGCGTTACAAGGGCCTGGAATGAGAGAAAAGCACACAACTCTAAATGTTGTTCTTCAATTTTAACCTCCGTCCAGTAGGCTCATAACCCTCCCTTGGTTCAAAGCCATGCAAGTACACATTCCTCGCTATCCAATACTTAATTGGCACCCACGGAGAAAGTACAAACTTCAAAACCACAACAGAGGCCAACAGGATAGCAGTGTTTTGTCCCCTCGGCCCTGAGGCACAAGTGGAGTCTAGCACCAAGGAGGGCAGGATTTAACAGACCAGCAGGAGGAGTCTCTTTACAGAGGTAGTTTGGACCGAACAGACTGCAGTGTATACTAACAACCAAACAGAATAAAAATCCCATGTGATTCTTCATTGAGAAAAGAGTTTTGGCCACTTGTGATCTAATTAAGCCCCAAGAGTAACAAAGATGGGCAAAAGAAAGAGGATCTGCCTGGTATGGGCATGGAGTTTGGGGGCTGAGGAAAATCTGGCCATCAGCAGACCATACACTAAGTCTCTCCAAAGAGAAGGCTGGACTTCTGCCCTTCTGGCCCGAACTGGCTGATTTACACTGCAGATCAAAGGTCTTTTCAATCTTCAAGCTACTTCCAAGAAAACACAGATCTATTAAGATAAGGTCTAGTGATTTCATCCATGATGGGAAAAGTTACTTTGGCTACAGCCCTTTGTGCACATGCGCTTGGGTACACATACACACAGATGTGGCTGGATCAATGTTTGTGGAATGACTAAGTGTTTAGATGAGCAGCATTCAGTACCTGACTTAAGCCCAGACATACCACCTACTAATAGCAATTCAAATTCCATGCCCAATACCAGGTAGCTCACTCACCAGGTGATACTCCCTTCGCTTAAAGCAGACATTCTCAAAGTGTGGTCCCCTGACCATCAGCAAGAGCATCGCCTAGGGACTTGTTAAAAATGCCAATTTGGGGGCTCTGGCTTAAGGGCAAGAAACTAGTCTTTTAACAAACCCTCCAGGTGATTCTGATGCATGCTAAAGTTTGAAAACTACTGGTTTAGAGGCAGACACACGAAAACAATTAATGGGAGAAAACGACTCAAACTCTTGCTTCATTCAGCTGTGACAAACCAAGGTACCAAGTCAAAACGTCAATGGTTTTGTTTTAAAATATCTACTTCTATTTTCTCAAATTGATTGTCATCCTTTTTTTTGATTGACAAGTTCATTCTAATCAAAATCTTAAGTGGGAACACAAGTGGATGAGTCAGCCACCCAAGAATGCACATTTCTGCAAGCTCCAGGCCTGAATTTAGTCTCAAACCACCCCTCTGCCCACTACAAAGATTTCAGCATAACACATTGCACCTCGGGAAAGGCACAATGTATTTCTCACTCACTGAGTCCAAAGACTTGGAACTTATTTTTTTAATGTTAAGTTTGGGTTCTGGGTTTAGTTGGGCAAGAATTTCCCTCAGCTGCTGTCAATCCTGGCTGAAGTTAATCCCTTTCCTTCACTGACTCAGGAAAAATACTTCAAATTCACATATTGTCTGTTAAAAAAATGAAAAAAGAAGACTACAAGAGGAAACAGGTGATCAAGCTGCCGAATAGAACGCTACCTGGATTAGACAACAATTGGATCTGAGATGACGGGGGAGGAGAGGACATCTCATGGGTGGCTTCACCTCAAGAGAACTGAGAATCTCAGCTCATTAGGAAAAAATGGGAGGTTACCAGTTTAGCTCAGAGACTGTAAGCTAAACCTCTGTTGATATGTGTGTGTGTGTGTTGTGTGTGTGTAAGGAGATAAGGAGCAAGAAGGGAAGATCGGAGTAGGAATCATGTCTTCCAGCCTTGAACTGCTTCCCACTGCAATTGATAAGGCCACACCATGGAGTTTGACGTTAATGGCAATGCTCTGTGATATCCACTACCACCGCCTTCTTCCAGCTGAAGAAAAAGTATCCTGTGCCGGCTCCTGCTGCGACAGCAATGCAGAGGTACCCATTGTAGGTCATGAAGATGAGCATGAGGAAGTAGCTGACGACCACCTGGATGATATGCAGCACAGTTTGCAGGAGGTGAGGAAAGCTCAGCATCTGCTGCCTGGAGAGTAAACAGGGACACAATAGTCAGGGACCCCCAGGGGTGTTCAGGCCGCTCTGCAGGTCAGGAGAAAGGGGGAATGGTTGTAGTCATGGGCTCAACTTGAACTGGACTCCCTTACAGCCACCCTGGCAACTCATGGGTACTTGTGTGTACGTATGTTGTTTATTGGTCCCTGGAAATAAAACATGATATGGCTGTCAGGTTTATAAATATTGGCTAGGTATGACTACATGTCAGCAGAAGGAACCCTCTTCGGGAAAGGGGAGAGGAAGGAGGAGTGATCCCCTGACTGACCTCCACCTTGGATCCCGAAAGGGAAGCCCTAAACCCTCTCATACTTATTTGACTGGACGTTTTCAAGCCTTCCACCTCGGCAAAGTTTACATTCTAAAATAATGGAAATAAAGTCAAAGGTTGGGTGTAGTAGAAAGTACTAGTTGGGGATAAGGAGACCTAGCTATTTATCCCCTTTGTCACTTACTAGTTCTGTCACCTTAGGTAAGTCACGACCTATTTGGGCCTCAATAAGCTCATCAATACAATGGGAATAAACAGTATTGTGCTTACTTGAAAGCAGGATATTGGTCTATAGGATTCCTTGAGCTCCAATTTAGTTTTAAGACCTACATTTCTATTAAAACTGAATCTCAAAAAGCATTTGCCAATCTGTGGGAAAAACCAATAGTCATCCAAATACTTTCTTAGATGGAATACAGACATTTGTACAGTCTTATATTGTAAACAAAATGAGACCAGAGCTGGCTAGGTACAATTTTTTATAGAAAGGAATCATTTGGATTCTGCCATTCTTCTATACCCTGACCTAAATTTCTTTTCTTAACTTCTTACTATTTTGGCAAATATTTTAAAATACAGATTTCTTACCTTCTTCCAAATTAACCAGTTCTTAAAACTCAGAATAAACGTTCATGTTTGCGGAAGAGTTTCTGTTATTCCTCCTTTGGCCTGCTCATGACCCACAACCCCAAGCCTCCAAAGATGGTTTTGATCAAGGTCATATAGAATCACTAACTCAAGAAGAGGGCTGTTGCTAATAAGATAGCTGCTTTGTTGCTTAACTAATACAGCTCTCCAGAACTTCCATCTGGATCTGTTCAATCTTCTTACCCAACGGTTTTGTGTGTCTCCATAAGGGTAGTACCATTTGGTCCTGGGACAGGCATGGAATTGTAGCGAATGCTGACTTGTGACTTGCGTAGCAGGCTCTCTCGGCCTATCTTGAGTCCTTCATAGAACACTGCTAGTAAAAACACTGCCACGAAAGCTCCAGCCATTTCTAAGTAGGGAAGGAAAAGATGGTGGTACTGTCAAACATGCAAAGTCATTAGCTGGTGTGCTGTCCAAGCTAGAAAGACAACATAGAAAAAGTGCTACTCTCAATTTCTGAATTCCTTATATTGTTAACCTCTTCACTTGTACAGATAGAAGAGAACAGCTAAGATGGTGTTAGTGAAAACATTGCCTCCACTGAAGAACATATTCATTTTCTGATTAAGATACCAAAAAAATATCTGAACAAAAATAACCTTTTGGTCTGGTTGCTTGATGTCATTAAATTAGCTTGTTACATTGAAACACACAATGTAGAATATGCAGAAAAGGACTACAACAACTTATTTTTGAGTGTTGACTCTATTTCTTGAGCAGGCATTTTGATTCTAAGTCTTTCATATTGTGAAACACTGGTAACGATATGAATGTATTCAAATTGCTAATTTAATACACTAGCTAAACTAAGTGCTCCCCTTCTTCTCAGAACAAACTGACTTTGAGGATCCAAAGATCTATCTGGTGGTACTCAAAGCAGTCCAACTGACCAGTGAGCTCGTGCAATCTGAATTTAAGGCACACCAGCTCAACATTGTAGACACAAAGAAATGGGTGATTAGTTACCCCAAAACTAGGACTCTAAGATGGGCCCTGCCAACAATCAGGAATGATGTAGACCACAGTTTGGTAAGCTAGAAGGGGCATTGGACTAGGTAGGTCTGGAAGCTCTGGGTCCCTGTCCTAGATCTGACATACTAACTCTATGTGATTTAGGGCTAATCGTTTCACTATATGTGGCTTAATTTATCAGTAAAATGGAAGGATTGTACTAGATCAATAGTTTTTAACCTAAGGTTATTTTGTGGTATGTATATATAAAATACTTCTTATGTCTTTCGAACTTGACTATAGCCTTATGTCCAAGACCAATAACTTATCAGACAAGGAAACACTCTGGAAAAGGATGAAAGGAAATGGATTACAAAAGACTCCTATCTGGTATCTAAATTATTTTTCAGAAACTCTAAAACATACACATGTTATTTATGGGAGGTTTACCATAAATACCCCTTATTTTATGGTAAGCATTGTGTATCCTTACCTTCTGGGTAGGAAACAGGAAGCAAAATGGTTATGTATCATAACTATAATGATTCAGTAACTATGGCAGAAAGAGGTGCTGGGTTTCCAGATTCTTTGTCACTGTCTCTCATGTGACTGTTATCTTCAAACACCACCTGATGGCTTACTCACCTCCAGGTGTATTGATCACCAAACCAGAAAACAACAGTTCCACATTCTTAAAGCCAAAGTAGAAGGTCATAGGCTGCCAGAAAACCAAAACAAGACAATTAGAGATGATTACAGATTCTAAAGGAGAATTTTAGGTAAAGAAGCTTAGTACATTTAAAAGTAGCAGATAATGAGAGACACTGACTGAAGTGGGAGGCTTTCTTCTGAATTTTTAGCATTACTACCACAGGCACTCTCCACTAGAACTCTCCTTTGCCCCCACCATCAACTTTTGTATTTTTCTCTTTTCTACACAAAGCATAAAGAACAGAACTTAATTCAGAAAAGGGCTAATTTTGAAAGAAAGGAACACAGAAGAAAGAACCCTAGAAATCTTGGTTCTGGCATGGCTCTGTAATTAATCTGCCACATGATCTTGGGCAAATCACATGGCTTGTCTGGGTCTGCCTTAGTTTGTCCTCATCAGTAAACTGACCTTTAAAGATAACCTTCCAGTCCTAAAACTCGATTATTTCTATTACCCAAGTGGGCGAGCAAGGGCTTGGGCTGCCTCTCCTGGGGCACTCACCATCATCATCATATGGTCCATATCCCCGCCATGGGAGTGGGAGGCTGAAGTGGTCGGGTGGTGGTGAGACGGTGGCGTGGTAGTGTTGTGGTCCGTATGGCTCATCCCCATATGGTGAGAATGGTCCATTTTTCCAGGAAAAGTTGAGAGTCAGCAGAAGATTCTTTTAAGAAAAAGAATTATACATAATAAGGAAATAAAATCTTAAATCTTAATTCTTTGTCTATGTGATATTTCATCCAATGAATAAATGCTCTCGTAGCATCTTTACTCAGAATTATTCTTCATAATCTACAGATGGAGAGAGAAAGAACTGTGCGAATAGGGCTCACCTTTGGAGATTGTGGCAGAAGTTTCAGAAACCTAACCCTTATTCTGCAGAATTGTTCCTTTAATAGACACGTTCAATGAATGTTCAAATTTAAATATGAGATAAGAAGAAGAAAAGTAGCTTCTTTGGGTTGCAGGAAATAGGCAGTTTGCTAATAATGGACAGATTGATGCCATTAATGAAATTTAACTGCTCTAAGGCTTTCTAATCACAAATGTCAGTAGATAAAAAGTACTTCAGATGATTCACCTAATTGGATGGCCTGTGCGTGTTCAACCAGGATATTAAGAATACAATTTCACATATAGGACAACCAGCCTTCAGCTAATTTAAATTTGAAGAAAAGGTCTATCGCTGCCCCAGGCAAGCTGTGTGCTCAGAATTTAGATACAACTTCAATCCTAGCAGGGCATTAGAGCTAAGAACACTGACAACAAGGTATAAATTGGATAATCTATATTAAATTAAGTCTAGACAACAGCATATTCAGCCTTGCATCTTTACTGTCACATCGCCACTTTACTGCAAAGTCCATCTGGGACATAAACCAAGGAGCAAAAACTCCTGTAGCTGGGATGACGGTGGGGAGGGGAAAGTTGAGGAGGGTGGAGGGGGAGGTTGGTGGATTCTCTCTCTGTGTCCCTCAACTCCAGTTGGTGCCGGAAAGAGTGCTTTGGAAATTCCAAGTAGGGATTTCATGTTCATGAGCCTGAATGTGCCTCTCATTATTCACTCAATCGATAAATATTTATCAAGCTCCTACTACATGCCAAACTCTGAGCTAAGTGCTAGTAATTCAACAGGGAATAAGACAAACAAGGTACCTGATGGAGAAAGAAACAAGAAACCCAACAATTTCATGGTGTGATTAGTGCTGTGAAGGAAATAAACAGGGGACTAGGACAGCTCTACTAAGGTGGAGAAGAGGCAAGCTAGATAGAAAATTTATACAGATTCAGGGGTTATCTATGTCTAACTCAAAAGCACAAATACTCAGCCATTTTCCCCTCTTCAACTCCCTTCTTATTATTGTAGGACAGCAAGCTTAATAAACAGGTTCTTATTTCCAGCAAAGGACATGGCAAGGCATCAAATAGGGATAATCAAGGTTCAACTTTGAATTTAAGTAACTTTCATGCCAGATACTATATTACTTTATAATTACAGAGCCTGACAGTCTGGTCTTATTAATAGCATTCTATAAAAGATTGGAAGTACAAAGAGACATATAGCAAGATTTTTGTCCACAAAGTTTTTATAGTAAACAGTAAAAAATAGAATACACACAAAAATAATCAACATGAGAGCATACACAAAGTTTCAATGATGGGACAAATGGTAAGTGGGCAGCAGTTTCCAGATAAAGAATCATGGTAGGGGGGCGGCCTGGTGGCGCAGTGGTTAAGTTCGCACGTTCTGCTTCTCAGAGGCCCGGGGTTCGAGGGTTCAGATCCCGGGTGTGGACATGGCACCACTTGGCAAAAAGCCATGCTGTCGTAGGCATCCCATGTATAAAACAGAGGAAGATGGGCAGGGATGTTAGCTCAGGGCCAGTCTTTCACAGCAAAAACAGCAAGATTGGCAGTAGTTAGCTCAGGGCTAATCTTGCTCAAAAAAATAAAAGAAAAAGAATCGTGGTAGGATCGAGAGATCACTGGTATCTGAGTGATCATAAATTATGATTATGAACCAAGCAAATGAAGTGAAATAAGAATGAAAAGACTTGCCAGCCAAAAAGAGACTCAAAAAGAGACTGAAGTAGAGGTCACAAATTTTGTTCTCTTCCAATAAGAGTCTGAAAAGTGATTATAGCATAAGAAAACCATAAGGATAATTTCATTCCATGTTATCAACCGGAAGCTTGGCCAAAGATTTAGTGAAAATTTGTAGAGTGCCTTCTGGCATAAGAGACTGAGGGAGATACAGAGATGAACCAGACATGGTGTCTTTCCTCAAGGAGCTTCAAGGCCAAAAGCTAGCAGGGGAAAAGGGAACAGTCATAATTTTAATTTGGAAGCATAAGATAACACGTAAAGGACAGTTTAAAAAGCAAGAACATAGCACCACAAACTACCTAAGATTCGTAACCTTGATTTCCTTGAGGAACTTCTACATGTTCTTCCCACGAACATTTTCTGAAGATCCACAAGATCCTAATTGTTCAGGTGCCTCATTATCAACTGGAGACATCTACTCAATGAAGAGACGAATTCAAATCTCTTCAGACCTATAGTGACCCAGTAATTCATATATCTGCATCTCAAGAATGCCTTTCAGAGGACGCATCTGTTTTGAAGTGTCATCTTTGTAGGAAACATTTCATATTCAAATATACTTGGAAATAGAGCAGGAATAGAATCTACTTCCTTTCATTGCCAGTGAACAATGAATTTCTTGAGATGGAATCCTATGCAAAGCTTGCCCAATGGTATATGAATAGGAAGGTACAAATCTGGTGAAAATTAACCTACGAACATACACTGTAGGCACAAACTCAAACTAATCCTGCTCACTAAAAGTCATTTTCTAGGAAAAATCCCAGAGGAATATGCCAAACTCAAATGATATCAAAAGAGGAAAAACTTAAAAATTTATTATTAAAGCACAATAAATAAAAGTGATTATACTCTTTTCTCTTTCTACTTAATTTTTCAGTGATGGGCCTTATGTATTTGGATAACTCATCTTCTAAAGCAATCAAACACCCCTAACCCATTCCCTCTAGAAGAGATTCTACTCAGAGGAGGTAAACTGGCAGTTGGTTAGTGTTAGTCTGTTTCCTTTGGTAGCTTTAATCTAAGACCCCAAGCTCAGCTTCTTCCAGAATAAAAATGGGTACTGAAGCAAGAATAAATCAAAGAGTGACACAGCAATACTATTTGCTGTCTCAATGTGTAATCTGAAAAAAATGGTTTAATCATGAGCTGTGCTGTTTTGTCTTTGGTTTATTTAAATTTCTCTAAACTCCACAGCCAACTTTACTTGCTCTCGAGAACTGTTTTGTCTATATTATAGCTCCACCCCACTGTCTCCAAGATCTGGGTTCAACGTCCGCAAAGTAGCCATACTGTACTTTTATGGAGTCAAGTTTCTTGATTTGTAAAGCAATTACCATTAATGGAACTTGAGGAAGAGTTAGCAATGATAAGTGATAGACGGACCTTGAGCAAAATTTTTGTGTTTATCGATTCACTGGATTTCTGGTTTTAGGACAATCTACGTGCGTGTGTTAATTTCAGGTTATTTTTAGGACAATCTATGTGCATGTGTTAATTCCAGGCTAACATTCCATTCTTGTTTAAAACCTCCACCATTCACTTTTCTTCTTATCCTTACTATTCTATTTCATCAAATTTACAAATTATTTATAAAGAAGATTACTAACAAGAAAAATCTGAATACATAACTCAAGGACAGAACTGAAAAACAAATGACAACAAAAAAACCTTAGGATTCCTAATTTTCAATCTATGATAAAATCTACCTGTAATATTTTATTTACCAAGTTGAGTTTATAACTAGGTGGAAAGATTAAGAATACTGTACTTTCATTTACATTTTTGCCAATTCAGGCAAACCAGTTTTCTCTAACAGAATCCAAGAGGGACCCACACTGGAGAAGCACCTTTGCATTAGAGAATGGAGTGGTGAGTTTAACTACATAGCTGGAGAGCATCTGACAAGGAACGTGGAAGGTGGTCTGAGTGTAGAATCTGGGAAAGTTCCTTAGCCTCTTTGGAGCTGGTTTCCAGCCAGGAGAAAACCCCTTGAAGGGCTGCTGGGAGGATGAAATGAGTTGACAGACATAAAGCATTTGGCAAAGTGCCTGACAAAAAGCTATTATCATTATGCGGAATATGAGGGGATAAAAGACCTTAGATTGGGGGGAACTCAGTGAATGAACTTTGTGGGAGAAGCCATCCAGTAACCAAAATATTAGCTTTCTGTTAGCTTCTCTCCTACAAAGTATTCTAGCTAAGCCCACTTTCAAGCCCCTTTCTGCCTATCGTGTCTCCTAACTGAGACCACAAAGTGGCTATGGACACTCATGTGGATAGTACATAATAGCTCCTCCTTCTAGCATAGAAAACACCATGGATCTTTAAAGAAATACAAGAGAAATAGTCCAAGAATTGACTATAGAAAAAAATCAAGCATGAGTTTCTATGGAACTTAGTTCAGATAAAACAGCCAAGAAGTTTATCTCTCAAGAAGGTTTTATACTACCCAGTTTCTAGGGAACATTTATCTTCAGTTGGGTACTTGAAGTTGGCTATATGCCAACTTATTTCTATTGCCCTGAATACTACTAGGTATGAGAAATGAAATGACACATTCTGCATTGACTGTCCTATAGCTTTGCATATCTTTCTGCTCTCTTCCTTCCTCCATTTAGCAAGGATGGTGCAGTATTTATACAAATAGGTTTCAAAACTTCCTGGTATTCAAGGGTCTAATTCTTTCTCAGTCTACTTCTAAGGATCATCATAAAAGAAGTTTCCTCTTTTCCTGTTCCACCCCCGACACAATCACATTGTAAAATTTAACTGGAAGGCCAGATTCTTTGCAAAACCTAGCATCTCTAGCAAAAATAAACATGATTTTTACGGGCAGAAGTTAAGAAATTAGCGAGAAGGCCAGATTCTGATGCCCATTCTGAGTCTTAGCACTGACTTTACCTCTAATAGGTTTAGTCTAAATTTCAAATAATTCTCTTCTATTTTCCTGGTATTGCACAATGATGGATAAGAAACAATAATCCATAGGGACTATAAAGATTAGACCCCACAAAAAGACTACACAGAAGTGGTCATACATCTGCCACATGGTCC